TCYCKMTYYCTCKWTSYCKWKSTSYTKCYSCKWYCYCGATCTCGATCCCGGTGTCCCCGGCGTTCGTGGCGTTCGTCGTATCGATCCCGATCCCTATCTCGATCGTCATCSCGGTCTCGTTTCTCGCTGCGTTTCTCGCTGCTCCGGTGGCGATCGTCCGATCGGTGGTCCCTCCYCGATGACATGGTGCCTTCTGCTGGTCGAATCCAGTTSTTGTCTTCCCAAAAGTAGTGACTCTCKATTCCTATGGAACSCAGYGCACGCTAACGTTTACTTCCAATCGAGATRAAAGACAACAGATWTTTATGACAGACAGGACGAAAGAAGAGATTCGAAGTGGTTCGCAGTTCGAATGCCACTACGTACGTACATACMGTACTAAYATACGGTATGCATCCCTCGCTCTGCTCTGWAGCGCAGAAACCAGAAACGGGATAGGCGAAGAGCGAGTGCCGGCCGGGCACAACATAAAAGGGACTGATCACACGGGACTGAAAAGTGTCAAAAATTCTCAGATTTGGATTTTTTTTTTCGATTTCCGATACAGAATCTGGTTTCGATTTCGATGACTGATTTGTTTCGGAAAGATTACTTCCACCCGGATCCGAATATATCCACCCGGACCCCGGTCGAAGGGCACCAAACAGAGTCGAAAAGATCTCAAATCTCCACCGACTTGGCGAAGCTGTAGCATTATGTTGTGCCCTATCCATTACGTTGAGTTACCAAGCATTAGTTGGACAGAAAGGAAAACCAGTGCCATGGTGACAAAAACGACTCTATCACCTGCATTGTTGCTATTGTTCTTTTCCGGAATCTCTTTGTCGGGACTGCTCCTTCTGAGATTGGGGCTTGGCAGCAATTTCGTTCTAGCCGGTGCCTTTCGAAGCGCCGCCGAGCACGGGAGGGAAGCAACCAAAGTTCCGGAGGGAAATGTAGTAGCAGCTGCTGTCGCTGCCGCTGCTACCGGTACTTCGGGTAGCCCCGCGCTCGTTGGCTCCGTGGACGCGGTTTACGATCTAATGGACCGCGTGCTGAAAGATCCCACCGCCAAGAATTCGTTTCGGCTTCGCATCGTCAGCGAAAGCGAAACTGACAACGAAAACGAAAACGAAAGCGACGCGGAGGACAACAAGAACGGCAGAGACTCGTCATCGGCACCGACGGCTGGGTCTTGGTTTCGATTGGAACAGAAGCAGCAGCAGAAGCAGCAGCAGCAGGAGAGCAACGGCGATCCGCCGGGCACMGGCGACACCACGATCGTCGTCACCGCAACCTCGGCGAGCGAACTCACCGCCGGCCTCGGCTACTACTTCAAGCACTATTGCAACTTTACGATCGAATGGTCGTCGGGGGGCCGGGCGGGGGGCTCCCACATCGCCCTGCCCGAGGCGTGGCCGGTCCCCCTCGGCCCCGGACCGGCCGTGGTACGCCGCCGGACCACCCAGTGGAGGTACGTACACTTGTGTGGGGACGGCGGTCGGTGCGCTCGCTCCTTGCGGGCGTGGTGGATCCATATTCGCAACCGTGAGGCTCATACGCCACTTGGGATTGCCTCGGAAGCCTTCCATTGCGGTGTGTTGCGTCTCTGATGGTTCGTCTTGTTGTTGTGGCTCTCTTTTGCTCTTCTGTTGCGGTGTGGCACGCTTCGCAGCTACCTGATGAATGTCTGCACCCACAGCTATTCTCTGGTGTGGCACGATTGGTCTGCGTGGCAGAGCCTCATCGACAACATGGCCCTCCGTGGAATCAACATGGTCCTAGCCCTCACGGGGCAAGAAGAAATCCAGTACCGGGTCTTTTCGAAGCTGGGACTCGGGGACCACGACATTCGGTCCTGGTTCAACGGGCCCGCCTTTTTGACGTGGAGCCGGGGGCAGAACGAGTACGGGAGTGGGATCGCGGGCCCGCTGCCCCGGTCCTTTATGAAATCGCAGTGGGCCCTGCAGCGGGACCACATACTGCCGCGGCTGCGCAGCCTCGGGATGGTGGGCATCCTGCCGGCCTTCCAGGGTAACGTTCCGGTGCAGCTCGCGAATCTGTACAAGGACTCGAACATGACCAAAGAAGGCGATACGGGATGGATCGATGCCCTCGACCCCTTGTTTCTGGAAATCGCCGACCTGTGGATGGCCCAGTTGATCGAGGACTTTGGAACGGATCACTATTACCAGTTGGACGGGTGGTTCAATGGCGGTGTGCCACCCTGGATGACGACGCCCCGTGGTGGGCTGACCACGAGCCAGRCAAGAAGGCGGCGATCGCTAGAGACACAAAGCTCCTCCGTTCGCAGGACTGCCGGGGCAATACCACCGACGGTTGTTCCCAGGGACGAAGATTGGTACCGCAGGGGACAAGCGGCCTATGCCGGATTGAACAGAACCGATCCGGATGCGCATTGGATGTACCAGGGATTTGCCTTTGTCGKTTGGGAAACGCAAGAACAAGCCTCGTATGTCAAAGGATTTGTAGACAGCGTGCCACACGGAAAGTTCATCGTGATCGACATGGAATATTCTCCGGACGGGGAGTGGCAAAAATGGGCCAATGCTTCCTTTTTCGGAGCGGTGAGTGAAACGGTCTTSATCTCCGAGCTTAACTAGCGCGAAGACCGACGTGACGTTCTAAGAAAGAATCTCTCGACCCGGAATTGCTTGGTCTCTCACTGTTTCTCTTGCTGAATGGACCATTTCTACTCTACCAATGAAAAGCCGTTTATTTGGACAAAATTACACAACTTCGGAGACACAACCGGAATGCGTGGCGACATCGACCATTTGAATTGGGCGTTTCCGTACCAGGCATTCGAAGCTCAGTCGTCGATCATAGGGATCGGCGCAACTCCAGAAGGGATCGACCAAAACCCAATGTACTACGACTTTCTGTATGATCAGAATTTCCGTCCCGAACCTGTAGAAAATCTCACGGCCCACTTGATTGGCCTTGCGCACAAGCGGTATGGGATACAAACTAGCGACGAAAATGTCGACCTGGCATGGTGGCACTTGTTGAGGAGCTCGTACAGTAACGACTTTAGCGTGCAGGATTTGACAGGTGTTGCCCATCTAAACCCTCGACCATCTAGCTCTCTTTTTGAAGACGACAGATCCACTCCCAAACCTTTAATGTGTTCTCTATTCCATGCTTGGAATTATCTAATACACGCCGGAGACAACATGAAGTCATCAACAGACCCATTTTTGTACGATCTTGTCAATGTTGGAAGAGAAGTCCTGGCTCAGTTGTCAACACCCATGGCCTTGAATTTTTCTGACGCTCGATCGAAAGACTCGATGGACTACCAGGAGCTTGTGCAAACAGGGGAATCATACATTGATTTGTTGATTGATTTGGATCTTCTTTTGGGAACCAACATTGCATTCTTGGTTACCCCTTGGCTTGAGTCTGCGCGTCGTCTTGCTCGAGAGGATGCAACAGGAGGGACTCARAACGATTGCTTTTCGCCTATTTTGGGTAACCAAAGCAACCCTGGCTCCTGTTCGAGGTTTTACGAATTCAATGCCAGGACTCAGATAACAACGTGGAACCCAACTCCGCACGGTGCAGACGAAGTTCCTGGAGGTCCAATAGACTACGCGGCGAAACAATGGAATGGATTGATCCGGGGTTACTACGTAAATCGGGCAAAGATTCTTCTTGATCAAGCGCTTGAGGATCAACAAAAGGGCCAACCACTAAACTCTACAACAGTCAAACGAATTTTTGCTGCCCACGCATACGAATGGACGACTGCAGAGAGCAGCGACTCGGTCGTTCCTCCCTCGACTTCCCTTTTGCACAATGAGCGACGAAGTATTCTTCGAGGGACTCTCGAGATGTCGAAAGAGATGCTTAAAAAATATTCCACTTGGCTCAAAACATGCGGGCACGAAATCAACGAAAGTCAGCATTCAAAAAGTTGAGGCAGAAGTATTGGTGAAGGATTATTTTGCCGCGGACTCTCCCTGAACGTATACGACACGTAGCGGTTTCGATTGTATTGATAGGTGGTGCACAATAATCATTCATGAGAAAGGCGTGTCAAGAGTCGCAGCTCTGTTTTGTCGATTCTTTTATCTCTATGTTTTGTATTTCCCGTAAAGCATATCAYAGATCATTTAGTCTTTTGAAAGCTGCGTTTGGTTCATCACTGATGTTTGAACATTGCGTTCAAATATGATAGCGATTGGTCTTGCCGAATCCCTAAGACGGTTACAGACATCAGAAAGCGTTTCGTTCTTGACATCGTGTTCCTCAATTGCAACTATGACGTCCCCACTATTCACCTTTGTCTTGTAATCCTCATTTTTGACGTCCTTTACCGTAACTCTGGTTTTTTTTCCTTCCTTTACTTTCATGAGCATCAGTCCCAGCTGTTTGGTATGAAAAACTACCTTTACCTTTGTAATTGACGTCCTTCCGCCATTATGTACGACAGCGTCCTTCACTTGTGACWTATTCGATGTCCCCTCTATGACAGCGTCCTTCACTTGTGACTTATTCGATGTCCCCTCTATGACAGCGTCCTTCACTTGTGACTTATTCGATGTCCCTTCTACCAATCGCCTCAAATGCGTCACCATATCTTCGTCGTTCAAACTTTTGAGTTCTTGAGCTTTCAAAGATCTCATTTTGTCGTACTCATCCAAACATGCTTTGTATATGTGTACGATAAATTTGATGGAAGCTTGATTGCAATACCTTGGATCCGTATTCAAACATTGTAGAAGAAGAGAACAGCTATCGAAAAAATCGACTCGGGGTTTGAAACCTTGACCCCTCTTTACACCAGGGGGCAGAATGTACCAATCGTTTGGGCGGTTCCCGCGCTCAATAGACCATCCAATTTTGAGAAGCTCTTTCACCAAAATATTCCAAAAAATTAGTTTCTTCACTGGCATACCTCTCATACTTGAATTGTTAGTCCTGTTCCGCTTCTTGGGTCTAGTGTTTTCACCATCAGAAGCAAATGATCCATTCCGACCATTATGTAGATTGTTCCCTGTTGAGTAAATCGAAACGAAATCTTTTCCGAAAAAAAGACAAGATTCCCGATCAACTTTAATATCACGCTTTAAGAACATCAGGGTTGTCTCCACAGGTACATCGATCACCTTGCAAAGCTTCTCAAAAGAATACGACTTATCCTCTACAAGATACTTTTGCGCGAAAAGGTTCACCAAAAAAACTATCTGCCGTGTTAGGTACCAAGGTTGGTGAATCGTCTTCAAAATACTGGCTTGCTCCGTATTATGATCACTCGTCAATATAATCGGTACTGGCAATCTTTGTTCGGGGGTTTCACAGTCATCTGGTAGAGTCAAGACAGATTCAGTTCCATGTCGCTCTTTTTGGGTTTCCCCATGATATCTAAGGGAGTACCTTTTCCAAACAGTCCAATCAAATTTCAAGTCATTAATGCTTGTGGGACTTCGAATAGCTTTCGAAGCTTCCAAACCTTTTTGCATCAAATCGTCAGAAAGTTTCTCCGAAGGTTTCGCCTTGCTATAATCCCAACTATCTCGAGCAATCATATAACACAAGTCGTGAGTTAATGTTGCGGCTACGGCACACCAGACAGTTTCGTTGCACGGACAAAGCAAAGTAGAATTTACACCGTAGCAAATGTCTTCGGTAATTTCCTCTCGAAACTTAGTTCTCAGATTGATCCCCCTACGATCGACAAGATTAGGATTTTTATCCAATAAATCCATGAGAACTGGCCACGACCCCCAATCCAAACTTTTTGCATTTGCAATGCATTGTTTCAGAACAATGCTGTGACATCCGGCAACGGCAGCATTTTTGTGTCTAGATTTGTCAATTTTTTTCTGCATGTTTTCAATTTTTGCCATGAAATACGGTTTCATCCAGTTCAGGCGTCGTAGTGCGATGATTTGCTGCGCGAATGGAATCTGAATACCTTCCGATGATGATTGCATATCTCGAATAAATGCCTCAGTGATCTCAGCAAGGTTGCTACGAATCCCCTCTAAAAACTCAGAAAGCCGATAAAGTACCATCGCGTCTGGCACCTCGTAGATGACTTCGATCATATCGTACCGTTCTACGAAGTTTCTTTCCAAAAAACTTGGGAAGTGATCGTCGCTCCGGGCCTGCCCAGTTTTGTTTCTTTCTCCGTAACCTTTTCTCTCTCGAATTCTAAAGGATCGAATGTAATAAAAGCATATTATTAGAGGATATCCATCGAGCAACTGCAACAAGTTGAAAGCGAGTCTTTCGAATGGAAGCACACATACAAACAAATACAAAGTACTCACTCATCGTATGTACCGAAGTACGAGATCAAAAGTTCTATGGTTTCTCCTTTTTTCATTGCTTCCTTTGTTTTGAAAAAATAATTTACCTCCCGATCCAGGACGTGTTTGGACCATACGGTTTGTTTCAATTCGGGGTCTCCACCGGTCTCGTTCACGTACATCGATATGTTTCGTTCCGCAACAAGATGGGGCATTCCGGTTGAATCATCCGTGACGTCGGCCACTTGTTCTTCCCCGTTCAATTCCTCGAGTATATCAAATCCCCATTCAGATGTTTCATTGGAAAAAACAAAGTTCTTAATGTCGTAATGCAGCTGGGTTTTGCGATCCGACCGTCGAAACGGGCCGTATCTCCCCAACTCAATCGTCGAGCAACCCTCTTGATCCGTTGAAAATGTACGTTCCGGACACTCGACGTATTGCGCCAAAAAAATATTCCCTTCTGATCCCAGATCCCAGGGGTGTTGTTTGCTTCCATCTAAGGATATTCTCTCCGGTGATACGTAAATCGAGGGCAGACTCGTAGGATGTGGATATTGGAAAGGGCTGTTTTCTCCCTGAAAACATTCTCCTGCAATCTTGACGTTCATGTGATACCCGTCGGAATCCTTCGACACCAACGGTTGAATGACGTTCTCCTTGGATTTCTCCTTCGAAACCAAAGGTTGGATTACGTTCTGCTCGGACTTCGGGTCAGGATCGGGAGACGACGGCTGTCGAGCTTTTCGAGCACCCAGAAAAGTTAGAAATGCTCCATTTCCAGCATTAGGAATCCAGGACGGCTTGGCTTCTACCCGAAACTCGTATATGATGTCTTTGGTTTTGATAAAGAAAAAACACGAAAAACGAGGGTAGGGGGGAGGGGAATGAGCGATCGAAAAGTCTTTGCCTTCGTTCCCTGCGTTCATCATCTATTCTTTGTTTCTTGACTCGACTTTTCATCACTGCACTAGGCCAACCACGCGTCCAGCTATAGGTGTAGCGGTATAGACAAAGACAAAGGCAGTGACACAAAGACAGAAAGACAGACGCAGACACGGAGACACGCACTCACCTTTTGTTCGTTTGTCAAACACGGCAAACTGATACACGGGCAACCCTGTTTCCGCACTCAAGAATCTCTTGCTCAGCGGTGGTACCAATTCCATGCAGCTGGAAACGTCAATGTCCTCGTATCCGGTGTCGGGAGAACCCCCCACCACGGGGTTGCCGCAAGCTGGGGTGCTTTCTCCCGACGCGCGTTTCACCACCGTGTTCTTCCGGATCCACGTCTTCCAGTGGGACACACGGTTGTTGGGCGACTGGAGCGGAGCCTTGTTTCGGCGTTCCCTCCACTCGTTGAGGTGCTTTGCCAGGCCCTTTGCCCCGAGGGCTTCCTGCGCCGAAGTAATTCCCATGTCTTTCAGAAAGACCGCCGCGCTGCCCGGGATGTCGTCCAGGGAGGGATACACAAAGACCTCGCCCTTGTCCTTGTTCTGCGGGTCCGGGTAGACCAGGCGCTGGCGCTTGGGCAACCACTTGTCTCTTTGGACACGAATTCCGCGCTTCTTGGCGGAAGCTGCCACCGACTTGCGGTGGTCCAGAATCTGTCGCTTTAGCGTCCGGATGTAGCCGGCCGGGTCGCTGAGGGGGGGCGATCCCCGGTCCTTTCTCCAGGTGTTTACCCTGGACGGGAGCTCCTTGGCCAGGTGCAAGAAATCCACCGGGTCGGTGATTCCCGCCCAGACCATAAAATCCTTTCCGTTCATGTAGAGGTTCTCAAAGGCCGTGTTTCCACCGGCGGGTCCGGAGGCGTCCGCGCCGGTTTTGTGCTTGGCGTTTGCCAGGAAGGATGTTTTCCGCGCCGTGAGCTTTCGCAATGGTGGTAGCGTTCCGGAAGGGGCCGCCGCTGCCGCTGGCATCGCTGCAGCAAGGGTTGCCGCCACCGCTCTGGCGGGCGTGGCACCCGCCGCCGGGTGTGCGTTCGGGGGGCTGGTCTCGGAGGCCGTTGCCAGAGTCCCGGCGGCCTCGGAGGGACTCCCCCCCGTTGGTTCCGTGCCCGGCCCGCAAGCGGTGCTCGCACCGTCCGGAGGCGACAGTCCCCCGGCCCGGATCCTTCCGGTTGCCGCCCCTTGCCCCCGGTGGGCTCGGTCCGTGCTTTCCGCTCCGGGCCCGTGTGCTTCGCCGCTGCCGCTCCCGGCCGGGGTGCYKCTGGGGCTATTGGGATCCACGTCGCTGCGGTCCCCGTCCGCGTCGCTCTCGCTGGGGCTCTCGGCCGGGCCGTCCTCCCCTCTCAGGTTGCGGCTGCGGACGGCCTCCAGCCGGCGCCGGCGACCGTTCCGGTGGCGGCCGGACGGGCTCCCGGACCCGATCCAGGCGGGGGCGGCGCCCTCGGTTCCGGAACGGGGGGGCGGGGACTCGTCGTCGAGGAGGTCGATCGGGGTGCTCGCGGAAAAGCCCCCGCCGCAGAGGAGGAGTTGGCTGTTGAAGGCGATCCCCCCGCTGCCGCTGCCGTCGCTCTCGGTGTCCGACTCCAGAAGGCTCCGCTGCAGCGCGAGGGCGTCCCGGGCCGAGGCGGCGTTCTTGGAAGCCCCCGCCTCGAAAAAAGAATCCAGGACCCTCCGGGCCCTGTGATCCTTGGTGTCGCAAGGGCTTCCGTTGCTTGCGGTGCCACCGGAAAAAGACACYCGGAGGGATTCGTCGATGGTTTTCTGTCGTCGTTTTGCGGCACCCGATGCGGGGTCGGGTTCCTCCCGCTTCGGATCCGCGCCGGGGTGCGTGGAATCGTTGCTTTCCGCGATGCGAACCACCTTGTCGTTGGCGGCATCCTCTTCTTCATCGGAGGAGGACGACAGGAGATCTATGGCTTCCATCACTTTCCAGTAGTTTTTCTGGACCGGCGACGGACCCGCGCTCCCGCTCCCGTTGCCATTCCCGTTCATGCTGGTGCCCGGCTTGCGTCGAATGCTCTCTGGTATGCGGATGGAGAAGACTATCTGCCTCTCGTTCCCCTCTGTGCTTGCAGTTCTGTACAGGAGTCGCTACCTAGTCTGCCATAAACGTGGGGTGGAAATCAGCTCAGTAATTGTGATGGACCGCGTTGGAGTGCGGTGTTTTCCAGCGTGCTACTATTGATGGTTGCTACAGTATTGTGCGATGTGCATTATATTGTGAGAATTGCTTTGGTTGCAAACTTCGATTTCTCCATTTTTTTTTCGGATCTCTCGAAGGGTACACAGGGAACTTGTACGGGTACGAGTAGCTACTAGCAGCTACCGTACGGCACGCACGCACGGGACGATGTCGGACCTCTAGCTTTCGTACTCGTACCGTCCCGGCACCTTGCACTTGGCGCGCTTTTTTTAACTGCGGTCACTGCATGCAGTCACAAGAAGTCACACGGTAGACTCCTATCCTACCACCGTCAAACTCTACCAGCTACTGTACGGTACGGTATCCCGGTCCTGGCAGGATCGATGGAGGCGGGGGCAYATATGGACAATACGCTAAAAAATACTTCTACTCCATACAATACTACTACTACCAGTACAATCTATGTGAGGTACAAGTACAAGTACCTGTACGTACGATGTTTGGCACAAAAATTGAAACCGACCAAAATTAATAGTTTCAGTGCCCAAAAATTGACCTGGTCCTCGGCCGTCTCATGCACTTCAAACGTAAATGCCACTACGAAACCGGATTGTTGACTAGAGTGGATGTGTGTGTATTGCTGTCACTCACTATCTACTCGTGATTAACGTGGTACGGTCTCACTGTTAGACAATCAAACTGGTCTGTGTACTTCGCTTGCACCTAGTTGACTGCAGCGATAAGTATTATCGTTCGACTAGTGGTAATAGCAGGTAATAGCAGGTACTAGCAATGGTAGTTGTACCAGCTGTAGTAGTAGTAGTAGTAGTAGTAATGCTACTGGTGGCGAGGATCAGATCAGGGAGGCAGGAACGTTTTCACATCCGGTAGCATAGTCTTCTGTTAGCATTTGACATTCTAGTAGTGGTAGTACTAGTGCCATTTCATTGTTGTTCTTCATTGTTATCAATGATTGAAGTACGGTACTTGTACCACAGGAATACGCAGTAGATACTGCACCAACAGCTCCTCGTAGTACTGTTCCAACTACGGAATGGTTGATCAACAAACCTTTTACTTGTTATTTCAATCTACTAGTACTATGTTGTTTTTCTGAAAAGTCGTCTGCTTTCTGCTCGGCCACGACCATTGTTTCGGTCCGGGCAGCAGTGGCTGCGGTCCGGTCGCCCGTGCCAGGTTTTTCTAGTATCCGAAAATAGCTGCCCTGCCCAGCCGGCTTTGAAACATGAAGGAGTGATCGTGGTCCGACATTGGTATGGTATGGAACTCGTGCACCGGTTGCCGCGGCTCTGTCGGCGAGTGTGCGTGTGCGTGTGCGTGTGCGTGTGCCAAGGGAGGTTCTCCGGAGAAGTATTCCTGCAGTCCATCGTAGAAGAGAACGGCGCGCTCGTGCCGATTCCGTCCCTGGAGCACGCTCCCACAGCGATCGCCGGGATGGGGCTCTGTATCGCGTTCTCCCGAGAGGTAGATCTGGCCGCGACACAATGTGGGCAAAATGCATAGAAGATGGGATACATGAATGAAATACAGTACATATAGTCGGGTGCAAGACGAGGCATCGGAATGAAACGAGAATGGAAAAGAACGGAACACGCCGAAAATCCAAGGGTGTGAGAGTGTGAGTGTGAGTGTGAGTGTG